TCAGACAGTATATATGTATAAATATATTCAAAATAGAAGCATCTGATTGGTCGGATATATTATAAATATATTCAAAATAACAGCATCTAATTGGTTGGATGCATATTCAAACATCTGCATATCAAATTATCAAATTTATTCTAATGCATACTTTCCTATTTTTGAAAGCGTTGCCAAAATTATGAGACAAACGTAAAACAAAACGGAATCAATGAGTAGAAACAAGAGAAAAAAAATGGAAACTTGCTGAAACTTTTTAAAATGAAAATGCGCAAATTAATTTATCATTTTATATTTAAACGGAAATAATACATTTATGAACATATATAAATGTATACTGTTAACTTTTGTTTAAAACAAATATGTTCAAAACATCAACCGAATATAATATATATTTTTCAATTAGAGTTATGTAGATTAGTGTTTTTACACATTTGAAATTATCAATCAGTCATTGTTAGACAACACCATTAGAAACCTGGAAGCACTGAAAGACGGCCGTTTCGTCCTAGTATGGGACTCACTGGTAGCAGTAGGCATGCACGACTCTTGCATCTCGCGGGATTCGAACCGGGGTCCTTTGGTCTTGCGCGCGAACGCATAACCTCTGAACCACTGGGCCGGTATCCAACGATGTTAATGTCTAACTTCAATCAATATATGAGGTTGTGCAACTCCCTGATTGATTTCATGATTGAAGATTGACCTGTAGCTTGTTGAGAAATTCGAATACTCTTCACTTCTTCTTCTATCTGAAGTTTGTGCTGATGATGTTGTTCAGAAGAAGAACAGCAATGAAAGTTTCACAACCGAAAAAATCCAGCTCAGTAAACCAAACACCACCACAATAATCATTCACCTGAGCTACACATTTTCTTCAGCATCTCAAACTCTTTTTCTTAAAAATAATAACAGTCAAAAATTACAAAAATTTTTTCATGTTTATAATAAGCACTGATTAAAAGAAATTCTTTTATCGAATAAATAGCGTGACTAAATGTTTGTTATTTTCTTTAATTTATTAACAAAACATTTCTGACAGAGAATGTATATTCAGCTGATAGTTATTTCATTGAATTAGTAGGCCAAATCTCTAGTCCATTGATATTCAATGGTAATATTCAATTGTCAACATAAATTCTTTCAAAAATATGCGTTACTTTTGATTTTAATGGGTTTTATGTTCAAGGTTCAATCGTAATTTAAATTGACTATTGAATCATCACTAATTTAACATGAAAGTAACATTAAATAGAAAAAATTATAAATAAATATTTAAATTCCTGACATTATGTAGCTAACTAATCCAATAGATTATATTAAAGTGTGAATTTTCAAAAAATGTACAATTCATCTTGTCATCCTTCAATTATGATCATGAAAACAGTGTAATGGATAGTGTACCCATAAAAAGGTAGACTTACATTATTTCTTAAACTGTAACATATACATGTATGCCTATTAAACATGTCCGCATATTAACACCAAAAAATTTATCTGAGTATGCTATCAACCAAACCATTTTCCTAATCATCACCATTTTTTATTTCGATAGCATCTAAAAGAAAATTAACTTTTCGTGGTTGTGTCATAAGTCTGCAGGTTGCATTAGATGCTCAGCGATTTAGTGCCCCAAGAGTTGACTTCAGTGTGGACGAATGATCGAGTACGCGATGAAATGAATCTTTCTTTCCATTTCCATTTATCATTGTTTGGGATGTTAAATCCCCAGAAATCGCTTGATAAATATCTTTATTTTGGATTTATTTCATGTGCCAATCAGTTGACCTTGAGATCACATTTCCCACCAGAAAAATCCTTGGCTTTGGTTGGCTGCTGTGTATTTTAGTGTGCCATTTTTGTGACTGTCCCAAGGACGTCTCTATAGAGTATAAATAAACGCAATTTGAGTGCTTGGATTCATTGTGTTTGCTGACTGGGTGTTTGTAGAATACACTTTCTACACTATATCAAGACTTCTTGCTGGTACAGTTTGGTCAAGGTATCAGAGTAGCCTACCTGGACGCTGGTTCATTGTTTTTTCTCGTCATTCAACTAAGGCGAACTCGTACTAGTTTAAGCATACCTAGAGACCAGCGTAACAATCATACTAAGGCAAACCCTGTTTGTGCGACGGTGGCTATTAGAAGTCAAATACGGTGTTGAGGATCAATTTATGTCATGCATTCATTGAAACAGACAGATATGAGCATGAAAAGTGCACAAGCAACCCGAAGCGAATTGGAGAAGGCGAATGAGCCAACTCTCCGTGTGCTGAATTAATGACTAAGTATTTATAGTCAAGCAATAATAGGCTAGACGTGTAAAATAAGCGAGTAAGCATGCACACATACACAAAATCAGATGTACAGTGATCGATACCTTTATCGAATTATATAAATGACTCATCATTCCAGTGAGTATAAGGAATAAACGGTGAGATGCTACAAACTTTACATTGAACTACCAGTCATTCAGTGTACTCAAGATAAACATCAAAAGTTAATTATTATAGTTTTCATATTTACTTACTTTCTAATTGATATCAATCATGTTTTATTGGCTCCTTGTTTTATTTGATTTAAATTTGTTTAAATTTGAATTCCATGTTGTTTCCATCTTGATTTTAAGTACAATATATCAATGTGTAAGTATACGTGTCCATCACTCAGAATCTTTTGACGAATCATTCAGGCACTTTTAGTAATCTATACGTAAACTGTAAATGTTTTATAATGAGAATCACTAGTTTTCAATGGTGATCTAGCCAAGACTAGTTTGAGAATGAAACTTTGTAAATTCTATAATCTCTACAAATTGCCTGCACGAATAATAATCATATGCTCACTAGTGACTAACTTCGAAATGTAACTTATGGAGTGAGATATCTTGACTAGTGGAGTTCGAACCGAGTGTGAGACAACTGTCCGCTTCAAGCAATCAATGAGGGTTGTTCCGTTTAGTGAATTAATTAGAGTTAGACATTAACACCACTGAATACCGACTCAGTTGTTCAGAGGTTAAACGTCCGTGCATGAGAGTGAAGTTCATGGGTTCAGTTTCAAGATGCGTATTATTAGATACATACTGCTAAAGAACCCGACTTTCAGATAAAATGGTCGTTAAATGGTGTCAGGTTTTCAGTGATGGTCTAGCCAAGACCATTTCATGATTTAAACTGTGAAAATGTAGGAGAATTTGTACAAGTCCATTGAAAAAGTGAAACACCATACTTTGTATGTAGTTTAAGATAAATATAACCCAGAAGTGCTCGTTGCAAACTGTGGCGAACGTTAGATCCCTAGAACTCACTTGATTAAGGTCCAAATTTTGGATTTTTTTACGTTTTCGCGCATGGGCTGATCAATTGTCATTGAGATTACATTTCCTACCAGGAAAATCCTTGACTGTCATTGATTGATGAATTATTTTTACTTTACTTACTTACTTACCTACGCTTGTTACACCAATCGAGCATAAGTCCCTTACCAGTTTTCTCCATCCAACTCTGTCCTGGACTTCCCTTTCTAGTGCTTTCCAGTTTTTGTTCATTCTTTTCATATCTTTCTCTATTTATCGGCCTAATGTGTTCCTTGCCCTTCCTCTTTTCCTTTTGCCTTAAGGGTTCCATGTGAGGGCTTGTCTTGTGACGCACTTCAGTGCCTATCGCTGTATGTGTCCTATCCACTTCCACCACTTCTTCCTGATTTCCTCCTCCACTGGAATCTGGTTTGTTCTCTCCCACAGTACGTTGTAGCTGATCGTATCTAGCCAACGAATCCGAAGTATTTTGCGAAGACAACTGTTAATAAATACTTGTATCTTCTGGATGGATGGCTTACGTGGTTCTCCATGTTTCCGCTCCATACAGTAGAACTGTCTTGACATTTGTATTGAAAATCCTGATTTTGATGTTGATAGATATTTGTTTGGAATTCCAGATATTTTTCAACTGTAGAAATGCAGCCCTTACTTTGCTAAGTCGCGCCCTCACATCTGCATCGGACCTCCTTTCTCGTCGATGATGCTGCCCAGATATGTAAAGGTATCAACGTCCTCCAAGGCATCTCCATCAAGAGTGATTTGGCTGGCGCATTTTGTGTTGTATCATAGAATCTTACTTTTCCCCTTATGTATGTTGACACCTACTGCTGCTAAGTCTACTGCCACACTGGTCGTCTTTTCTTGCATTTAATGTTGCGTTTACGATATATAAGTCCAGACTGTCCAGCTGCGTCCTAGCTGTCCATCGGATACCGTACTTCCCTCCAAATGCATTATTTTAGTACGCTATTTTTGTGGCTCTCCTAAGGACGTTTCTATCATTGTATAAATAAACTCGATTTTTGTGCTTGTGAACCTCATATTTTCTGAGTGCTTGTAGAATACACTTTCTACGCCATATCAAGACTTATTGATATGATTATCAGGGTCGGAGACAATCGAATCAGAATAGCCTATCGTGTCACTACATCATTTGTCTTCGCTCTCGTTTAACTAGTAGGGTGAACTCGTAATTGCATTCAAGCATATCAATTGACGATCATATTGTGGTGAACGAGAACACAGGTGGGGCAACCGAATTGTATTTAGCGAAAATTACAGAGTTACTCAGTAAAATCGGAAAACCATATCGTAAATCGTTCATTTGCAAAATATCAGTCCATCATATAAAAAGGACTGTTTATGTTGCAAAACATCAATCCATTGTCACTATTCATGCGTTTCATACAAATTCCATTGTGTTCTAACTCTTCCTTTCTCGATCTTCCCCCATCTGCTGCTGCCAGACATTACGTTGACACTCATGTCGTATACTACTTATAAGTAGCTCACACCACAATATCACAAACCTTCATCTTAAATTATACACGAACTTAACAAAGATATTTATCAGTTTACAAATTGATCAAGTAAGAATTAAATTTTCTGAATAAAATCTTTAAAAAAAAATTAGCCTGATTACAATTATACCATCCTTTTTTTAACTTTTCAAACAGTCACCTTGTGGTTCAAATAGTCCACTCCCGAAATATTCCGATTCATCTTTACTTATTAATTCACCACAATCAACACAATCATCAATTATCGGTATGAATCAAACTAATCAAGAATTAATTCAATTATTACAATCCAACATTCGCAATGATAATTCACCAAATGCTAATTTGCATAATTTAAATTTATTAACACAACTTTTACAATCTCCAATAAAATTAGATGAATCAAGCAATGTATGGAGTTCAATTATTCAACCATTAACTAAACAATTACTTCAGTCGTATCAACAAAACACTAGTAATAATAATAATAATAATAACAATAATGATAATAATAATAATAATAGTAATAATAATAATACAAATGAGAACACGCCAACTGTAAACACTGCTAGTCATAGTTTCTTTATAGAAACTCCAATTCCAGAAATCAAAACTCCATCTACATGGACAACTGAAACAACCAATAATGTACAACAACAAAACAGCCGACAACCAAATAAATCCATGTCATCATTTGTACAATCCGCTAATCAACAACCACCATCACCAATGGATAGACATATTATCAAAAATGTTGAAGGTATAAATCAAAATTCAAAATTGGACATTGAAAAATTGAATCCTTATGAAATGACAACAACACAAACAACACAAGAGATGAATAAAACTACTAGCCAACAAAATATATGGTCAGCAAATACTAATTTATATAATCATGTTGTCAATCAGTCGTCAGTGAATGCGGCGAATTTACCATATACAAGACAATTCACAAATGTATCAAGATTACTGAATGTAAGTTGTTTACATTTTATTTTTCTATTTGTTCAAAATTCAATAAGAAATCATTAAAACAATGAATGATAACAAATGAAATATGAGAAATGTTCAACGAAACAATTGTTTTATATGATTCGTATTGATTTGAGTGTGTTACGCCTGCATGTAAACACGTCAACTTGATATACTTGAACTATTGCGAGTTTACCTAGTTAGAAAACAAGAACGAGAGTCGGGGATCCGGCGACCCGACACGCTACTCAAATCCGATTATCCCAACCCCCATATTTAGTAAAAATAAGAAGACTTGGATGTGAAGTAGAACTTGTATTCTACAAGCATCCAGAAAGTACTAGGTCCAAATCCAAAAGAGAATCAGCATCGCGGACTAGGGATTCAGGACCGAATCCTGGTCCTGGTCATAAAATGTTACAGATAATGCGTATTTATACATTTAGCTCGAATGGGAAACAGCATCGAATTCTGTGACCTTGACAGTTATGAAGACCAGTAGGAAGCAACATTTGGAGTGACATTGATAGTCAAGACAACCAATAAGAAACAACATTGGAGCACGTGACATTGATATCTAGGACGACCACAGTATGGACCAGTAGGAATTAACCAATAGGAATTGACCAATAATTCTCTTAGGATATTGGATGAATATACTAACAGAGTGTATGGTTTGAATCCAGTAAAGCTGCTAGCTACTACTTTGATGATTGGATTTGGTTAGGCATCACTGAGATATTAACTTTTCAATGGATTTTGAATAGTCATGATACTTAGTAGTATATAGCAGTTAAACTAAATTGTTTCTTGTTTGAATATCAATTCAGATTGATGTTTAACAATTAGTTAATGAAATATACATCAGTTGCTGTCATGAAATAAAGATGACATTAGTCATATAAATATTAAAATCTATTTGAAAGGGTTACAACCTTCGTTCTATCTTGAGGCTTAACATGGTTGTAAATACAATAAAATGTTTCAAGATCGATTCTGACAACTTCAGATAGTTGCTTTCCATCAATTGTGAGTTTCTTAGTAGCTATTTCCAGCTACTATCAGTTATTATTATTTTCGGTTGTTGAATGTTAGATAGTACGTTTGTTAAACATAGAAAAGATGCATTGTGGTTAGCATTGGAATCCAGTTTGAGGCGTTTATATCTCATTCGGGACTATTTAGATGGATTTATCTGTATCTCAGGGTTAATGTTCACACCAAATACCGTTTACTCCTGTTACGCATGCACGTAAACACGTCAATTGGATATGCTTGAACTATTTTGAGTTTACCTTCGTTGGAAAACGAGAGTGAGGATCGAGGATCCGGCGAGACAACATGCTACTCTGATCCGAGCATCCCAAACCCCTGTGGTGTAAAAGAAGAAGAATTGATATGAAGTAGAACATGCATTCTACCAGCATCCAGAAAGTACGAGGTCCGAGTCCAGAAGAGAATGAGGATCCCGGAATAGGGATCCGCGTCCGGGTTACAGATAATGCACATTTATACAGTTCGGTCGAATAGGAAACAACATTGAAGTCTGTGACATTGACAGTTAGGATGACCAATCGGAAACAAGGTGTCAAGTGACATTAATGGTCAGGAAGACCAACAGGAATTGACCAATAGAATTAGACTAACAAACAATTATCTTAGGATATTGGATGAATATCCTAACAACTTCAAACACCTATAATGTGTTACTCACCGAGCTCCTCACTATGAGCACTTCTGTTTATATTCTGACCAAGGAATAAATACGATAGTGATCAGAGGCCGATAAAGTATACTATATATGTATACATGTGTATATACCTATAAACCAATTTTCATTACCTAGATCATATTGTAATGATGTTTCTTTCTCTGAGCTGGATATTTTGGTTTTGTACTGACGAACATATTCATGGAGAAAGTAGAGTTGTTTATCGAGTTGAAATCTGCCTTTTAGCAAAATTCTCCAAAGCATGTCACACACAAATGGTCTTCAGATGATGGAGAAAACTTCTGGCTCCGGTGGATGATTGTGGTAGAGTTCTGTACTCTGAGCTTGATGTTTTGGTTCTCTCACTAAATGTGACAACATGTTTTTCAGTTCATGCTTTTATGACTGAGCTAACAAGCGTGCGATCTATGATAAATAGTTTTTAACTAATCTTATCACTGAACAGTATATTCTTAGTAATCAAAACTCCTTAAGAATACTGATACAAATTGTAGCCTTCTCTGTGTATTCAACATATTTCACTTTAATAGTAATAATTGGTTCTCAACAATCAGATCACTGAAAATATATAATTCACAGAGAAGTACTATCATGGAAATATCAATTTATCAATTGAAAGCTTGTGAACTGTAGGGAACTGGTGAGGTAGCTACGTCAATGAGAAGTTCAAAATAGCTAGTCCCATCTTCATGGATGGAATCCAATCAATCAGTCAATACATAAAACATAAAATCGATCTTTAGTTTTTGTACATGAGTATCAGTTTTATACTAAATTTCTTAATTCTCTTTTCATTTTTAACATAAACTAGCAAGAACGACCTTGGACACGAAGTCATCATAGAGATAGATTTGTTGTACGAATCACATCAGTAACACATCGTTGTTCATGTCGATCAAATACACCGAATCGTAATCGTACAACCGATCCAAAATATGCTCAATGTCAAGGTAAAGAATGTAAACGCAGTGAACCACGTATATATGTGACATTTCAAACTCAGCTGCCAAGTTTAAGTTCACCTGATAATAGTAGAAAACATGGGAGACATTCACATCATACAACACCATTAACTGGATTACGACTAGGATTTAGTTGTCCATTAACTAGTCAAGGACCACCAATGAGTGATTTCGAGACACCGAAAGTAGCAGAAAGAGTAAGTTTTTCATTCAGTTAAGATTTTTAAAAATGGAATGAAGTTAATTTGATATATATTCTTATATTTTTAATCGTTTACTACTTGATTTGAATGTAAATCATGTTATGAAATGAATATGATTGGTTGGTTTTTATTAATCGGAGTTCTCAGAGTTCTGGTGAGAAGACGTGACAGGCGGAGTTCAACCTTGTCAGGTGTAGGCAGTAACTACTCGAAGATAAATGGGTGAGATCACGCAAAATCCTTCGATTGATCAGAATTAGACGTTAAGACCATTGGATGCCGGCTCAGTGGTCCAGAGGTTATGTGTTCGGGCGCAAGACTTAAGGTCATAGGTTGAAATCGTGCAAGTAGCAGGAGTTGTGGATGCGCACTGACATTGATGAATCCCATACCAGGACGAAACAGCCCTCCAGTGCTTGTAGGTTTCTAATGGTGGTCTAACTATGATTGATAACTTTAATTAACTATTTTAATTAATATTCATTTACTTAAATAGTAAAATCTACAAAAGAAGTACTTTAATTTTAAGTACATAAATTAAGTCAACAGAAATGAGATTATGTTGAAATGAAACTAGATGATTACTGTAATGATAACATAAAATTTAGTGTATTGTGTTGTAAAGTTCTAATGTTACATTATGCAAATTTAATTAGAATAAAAATCAATATTTTCATATTTCACAGTTACAGATTAAACTTTCACAATTAAGTCAACTAAAACCTATTCAAAAATAATGACTGAGTGAACGTCTGAATCACAGCTGTGCTTTATACAACTATAAATATACATATATAATTATTATTTAGTGGCTGCGTTGAATACAAAGTAGGATTCACTACTTTACTGGCTCGCGATATGACTCCGACATATTATGCTTAGACACATCTCGTTTGTGCGATGGCGGTAATAGGAGGCGAAATACAGTTTCGCCGATGAGTTTATTTCATGAATTTATTTAAACAGACACAGTAGGAGGAAAGTAAATCAAAGTGGGGAAGGCGAATGAGCTAACTCTTATGCTCTGAAGCATTGCTAAGTATTTATAGTCAAGCGAAAATAACCTAGATATGTGGTAAGCGAAGTAAACATGTACACACGCTCTAGGATAGAAACGACCATGGTTATAAGTGAATGATTGATATGATCGTAAGGCATGTGAACAGTGACTCAAACAAAACAGGTTATTTAGTTTGTTCGAGAGTTAGGACAATCGCTAATGGCTCGACATAATTGTCAACATTCTACAACTGCTTTTCATTCAAGTGATTTCATTCTAAACTTCAATGTTCAATCTTCAAAAAGACAATTAAAAACAAAAGTTAACCTGTAAACAAACTTATTTCACATCACTTACGAATCATAGTTAAACGACCGGTGAAAAATTTGAAGCACTGGACAGCTGTTTCATCTTAATATGAAACTTTTTGTCGTTGGATAACCTTGTCGAGCTGTGCTTTGCGGTGTAGGAGTAGGTCAGGAGAAACCAAGGGTGGCCAAATCAAAACATGGCACAAGTCCATGAAGTCATGACAGATAGACAAAGTTATGCTGGTAAATGTAGAATACCTGATTGGGATCCGCGAGATGATGGTAATCGATGGTTAGAGACCATGAACGACATGGCTCAAAATCATTTTGTAGTAGCATAGGTGCATTCCATCTTTCGTGTTCTCTCAAATCCTAATCTTCTGAATTCCTCATGATAGTTTTTTCTCTTTTTTTTTAACGGCTTCCTCTGGGGTATACATCTCGAATGATATACTTGATGATACTTCTACTACCACTACTCTAGAAATCAAAACTTACTTATGAACATGATCTCTTTATTTAAACAAACGAATGTTTAGATTACATATAAAACTTCCGCCTGGAGCCCCGCTAAAAGGTTACTGCCGGTCCCAAGCCCAGTGGGTAAACGAGGAGGGTTTGGCATGTGGTTTGCCACCCCTATCCCGCAGAAATCCGACTCACTCAAAAAACACTAACCAGAAAAATAATTCGCTAGTCAGTGACCTATGGTTCATTAGGGGGTAACAGGCGTAAGAAGAAGACAAAAGAAGATTACATATAAATGTATTTGAATTTAACTAACCGACTATAACTGACAAATTATGATTAATATGATTACCTCTCTTCTTTTGAAAAAGTGTTGCCTCTTCTTCGATAAAAATTAACTTAAGACCGACCATATCAATGTTCACGGTATTATTTTCAAGAGACTATTAATCTATTGAATCTTGATTATTTTCATGTCGAAATTAACAAATCACAGTAAATGTACTTACTATACCGCCTATTTCAAGTGCAAGAAACAATTACCAGATAAATTATCAACTATGTAAATAAAAATACATCAATCAATCATTGTTAAACAAACACCATTAGAAACCTGGAAGCACGGTGTTAATGTCTAACTCTGATCGATCTACGGATTTTGCGTGACCTCAACCATTTGTCTTTGGTAGTTACTGCTACCGTTGGATGCCGGCCCAGTGGTCCAATGGTTAAGCGTTCACGCACAATTCTCGAAGGTCCCGGGTTTCGAATCCTACGAGATGCAGGAATCGTGGGTACGCAGTGCCACTGATGAGTCCCATACCAGGACGAAACGGCTGTCTTTTAGTGCTTCCAGGTTTATAATAGTGGTCTAACAATGATTGGTTGATGACTTCAAATGTGTAAAAACACAAAACCTCCAAAACTCTGCCCGAAAATATACATAAAAGCCAAAATAATTATAGAAGAAGTAGTTTAAGTTTCTGCCCCCAAATAAATAATTTATGCATTCATACAGATTGAGAAATGGTTCTGAAATGAACTATGAATAAAGGGATAAAGATGACAACCGAAATGTCTCTCTAATTATTACAAGATTAGGAAGCTGTTTAATCATTAATGCTAAGGTCTCTTCTTTTTTTTCTGTCAAATTCAGTTGTATAATTAATTAAGATTATTTGAAAATAATGTGATAAGTTTCATTGACAGATCAATGAAATCACTACTATTTCATACATATATATATATATATCTTACTTTCAGTTTGATTCATGGGAACAAGCTGGTAATCGACCTGGTTTTCGTGTACAAGTATTAGCAGCACTACAACATACAGTTCGTCAAATGTTGGAATTAATTAGAACGAAAGGATTTAGTGCAGTGAAACTTGACACGGATTATGTATTCTTTCCACCTGCAGCTGATCTTCAGTAAGTGTAGATTGTTTAAACTTATGATAGTTATAGTTTTTTATGATGTGCAAAAATCCATTTAGATTGTGTATGCTAGTTGGTCAGTAGAATCCAGGAAGCATGTTTCGTCTTTGTTACGCATGCACGTAAACACGTCAATTGGATATACTTGAATTATTACGAGTTTACCTTAGTCGCTAAACGAGAGCGAGGATCGATGATCCGGCGACACAACATGTTACTCTGGTCCAAGTGTCCCGAACCCCCATTGAGTCAAAGAAGGAGACGTGATATGAAGTAGAACCTGTATTCTACAAACATCCAAAAAGTACAAGGTCAAATCCAGAAAAGAATCAGGATCTAGGACTAGGGATCCGGGTCTGGGTCCGGCTCATAAAATGTCACAGATAATGAGTATTTATACACTTCGGTCGAATGGAAAATAGCATCGAAGTCTGTGACATTGACAGTTAAGGCGATCAATAAGAAACAACATTTGAAGTGACATCGATAGTCAGGACAACCAATGGGAAACAAATTTGAAGTACGTGGCATTGATAGCTAGGACGACCATAGTATGGACCAGTAGGAATTAACCAATAGGAATTGACCAATTGAATTAGACTTACAAATAATTCTCTTAGGATATTGAACGAATATTCTAACAGTCTTATTTGAAACTAGTGAGCTGGATGAACTTGCATTTCAGTGTTGATATGCACTCTGACTGAATGATGATATTCAGTGCAGTTAGCATACAATGCACTTATGCCAAAATAAACTGATTAACTGTCATCTCTCACACGAACGATGAGAAGAGTCGAACAGATAGAAAGTTTGAAATTTTACTATTGAAGATTGTACGGTATACAGAAAAAAGTCTTTACAGTATCAAAGTATAGTTTTTATGAAATATGAAATAAACAACTGGTCAGTTAACAAATTCTGGAATACTAAACAGAGCACTGTTTATGAATTATTTTGGAATTTAAAACTCTTACTCTCTTACTCAAAGTCACAAAGTTCATCGTCGTTATATAAATCAAATCTCATTTAAACTAATCTCATAAATAATCAAACAAAATTGCTTACTTACTTACTTACTTACGCCTGTTAGCCCCCTAATGGAGTATAAGCCGTCAACCTACGAATCATTTTTCTAGTTAGCGTTTTCAGTTAACAAGTAGGATTTCTACAGAATGAGGTCGCTAGCCTCATGTTCAACCCTCCTTCGTTAACCGCCAAGCTTGGGACCGGCAGTAACCCTATAGAAGGGCTACAGGTGGAGTTAAATAATAAATTTGAGATTTCTGTAAATTTTACAGCTTTATGAAATAATGACTACATATTTTATTAAACCAGCCAAATCTATCTAACAGTTACAATTAACAATTTCGCTAATTGATTCCATTAACAATTAGTAATCATACAAATACTACTTCATAATCAACCAGTCTTAACAAATAAAACGATAAGCAATGCAAAATAATGAATGCTTTGATATTGTGAACAAAATTTGCAGCATACGAACAAATATCATACTGGCTAGATGACTTACTTACTTACTTACTTACGCCGGTTACACTCAAGGGAGCATAGGCCGCCAACTAGCATTCTCCAACTTCCTCTGTCCTAGGTCTCCTTTTCTAGTTTCGTCCAATTATTGTTCATCATTCTAATGTTTGTCTCCACTTCCCTGGGGATTCCAGATGAGGGTTTATTTTGTGACGTAATTGGGTGCTTTCTTCAATGTGTGTCCTATCCATTTCCATCGTTTCTTTCTGATTTTTTCGTCTACTGCAATCTGATAGTGTCTGACAAACGGATCCGAAGAATCTCGCGTGGACAATTGTTAACAAACACCTGTATCTTCTGGATGACGGCTTTGATAGTTCTCCAAGTTTCCATCCTGTACATCAGAAGTTTTTTGACATTTGTATTGAAAATTGTGACTTTGGTGTTGGTCGAAAGTTGTGTTTAAGTCCCGTGCTAATTAGATGTAGCTAATATTAAAATAAAAAAACGTGAAATTTTTCAAAAATTTTCAAACTATAAGAATTGCTACATTTTTGAAGAATAAGTAACTTATGAAAATTGTTCATTTATATAATTAGTCATTTTCAAAAACTAAACCCAATAGACGAATCATTAAAAACCGTGTAAGCTTTAGATTCCTCAACAGTTCACATACATGACGTAACCGAGATTGGATAGCCTACTGTCAGTCAGATCTCATAGGATCAACATTCATCAGTCTACAATCCTGATTTTGGATTGGAGGAGGCAGACGATTAGTTTACTATGGTAGTGGTGTTCGGTTCTCTGAGCTGGGTGTTTTGCTTGTGGAGCTTTCACTGCTCTTCTGCTGAACAACATCATCAGCACAAACTTCAGATAGCAGAAGTGAAGCATTCGAATTTCTCCATGTTTGACCTGTAACTTGTTCTGTTAACCTCGATCTTTATTGGTTGCTGTTGACCTTGAACCTGTCGTTGTTTGAACCTTTGTTTGATTGCATCCACCTTTTGACCTGTTCCTTAATCCTATGTCACCTGTGATTTTCCTGATTGGTTGATAAATTGGGTCAATGTCGATGTGTTTGTTGATTGCTGATTGTGACCTGAGTGCCAAGCTTCTAAAAATTCTCCAGTGTTCTTTGTCCTCCCCCTATCCAGTATTTCCACATTATTCCAATGGAATATATGTCCGTAACTGTCCGTATGTGTTGATATAGGCGAATAGTTGTCGTGGCGTTTGACTGCTAATTGATATTCACTTAAAGGAAGCCGAAGAGGCCGTCCACTTTGTCCTATGTAGTGTTTTTCACAGTCTGAGCAATTTATTTTGTAGATGATATTTGATTTTTCTTCCTTTGTCATTTTACTATCAATTCCATATGATATGGTTTCTCTGCATATATATGCATTTCACTATTCATGTATTTATTATCATTCTTTTTTTTAAAAAAATCAAAAGACCCGTATACTCAAGACGTAGACCATTGAGTTCATCATCCGATGGTTCTTTGCCGAGAATTATGGGTTTGGAACGAATAAGACGTGAAATTAAAAATGAACCAAAAAATCATAGTTTCAATACAAAGTTAAATGAAAATGTAAATTATCCTGAGAAGCCGGAACAAACGATTTGGTCTGAAATGACTACAGAATCTGATGATAACAATAGTGTATTTGATACGAATAATCTGAGTATACCACCAACTAATCGACCACGTACATGGCATCAATCACCTGGACGTTATTCTTTAAGTACATCACCATCAATTATGATATCACAAAATTATTCGGATTATAGAATTAATGAAATGACTGATATGCTTGAAAATGATCAATATCATACTACTACTGCTACGACTACTAATACTACTGATAGACATTTAAATATTGATGACGATGCTGATAACAATGATCCGAGTAACAATAATCATAATAATAATCATAATCATAATAGAAATATTCATTATCCAATGAATTCAAGTACAACACTCGATATACCATCAAATCAATCGGGACAAAATACATGTTGGTGTATTACAAATCCTACAGAACACTATCCATCTCATCCTCATCATCATCCTCATCATCATGGATTAGAGTATAATACATTTTTATCCAATCCAAATACACAAATGAATTATTCGCCATATACTACAATAGATGAACGACGATTGTTGAATAAAAATAGTTCAAGTTAGTTTACTAATTACTTGTTTTTATTTTCGATATATATATATGTGGTGCGCGCTACTTATAAGTAGTATGTAACGCGAGTGTAAAAGTAATGTCTGGCAGCAGTAGATGGGGGAAGATCAAGAAAGTAAGAAGAGTGGGAACACAATGGAATTCGTATGAAATGCATGAACAGTGAAATGTCCCACAATGGATTGATGATGGATTGACGTTTTGCAAATTACCGTTTTACAATATGGTTTTCCCATTTTACTGAGTAACTCTGTAATTTTCGGCAAATACAATTCGGTTGCCCTCACCTGTGTTCTCCTTCACTCTATATATATATATATATATATATATATATATATATATATATATATATATATATATAATTTTAGAAAGACAAAGGTAAAGGTGTTGACCGAATCTCAGAAGATTAGAATTTCAGAGAACGCAAAGAGTGGATGCACATGTGCCATTGTAAATGATTCTTGAATGCGACACGGCTCAGAATCATTTGCAATGTCAGCGCAGGTGCATTCACTCTTTGTGTTCTTGTAGTGCCTCCACATAAACTTGAGTTGGCTCACTAACCTTCTACACATCGCTTGTTTCGCTCATTCGTTCACATTGTAATCTAGGGAGTTGGCTCAACGGCCTTCTCCAATTCAAGTCGCTTCATTCGTTTTATTCGCTGCTTTTCCGCTTCGCTTAGTGGTGTTTCCCAAATAGACCTATTGTTCACTACGAGTTCGCCTTTTGATTTATAAACCGCCAGACGCTATTTAGTAACGATTGTCTGTAAGAGTTAATTACCGAGCTTAAGAACACGCTCACTAACCTTCTCCACATCGCTTCTTTCGCTCATTCGTTCGCTTTGTAATCTAGGGAGAAGGCTGTTGAGCCAACTCAAGTTTATGTGGAGGCACTACATTCTCTGAAATTCTAATCTTCTGGATTAGTCGTCACCTCTAGGCTTTGTCTTTCTAAACTTATCTCACTGAATTATACTTCTTGGATGTTATCTTCGAATCTTACTTAATCTTCGCCAATTAGTAGTAATTCTTCTACTCTCTCTCTACCATTATGGGATTTGAATTGACAATGGCGTCTCTGTAATATGGCAACATGAAATGGTGTACTTACGTGCGAAGTTCTACGTTGCAACTGACCGATATATATATGATTTTCTGATTCTGTGTTACAAAATTCAAATACAGATTAAATAATTCATTTTTTTACTTTTAAAGATAATTTATTGTGTTGCGAAAACAGTTATATAAGAAAAAACTTAAAAACTGGTCTGAAATTAGTTAAAGAATACATGGAATACTTATTTCATACGTCACTGTTACACCGCCATTAGTAACTTCGAATCACTGGATGGCCATTAACTCCCGGTATGGGACTCATCAACAGGGTGCATTGACGACTCCTGCACCTTGCAGGATTCGAACCCAGGACCTTTGGTTTTGCGCGCAAACGACTAACTGTTGTACGCTTGGACCGGCATCCAACGATGTTAATGTCTAACTCTGATCAATCTAGGGGATTTTGTGCGACTTCGTTAGGTAGCATAGACATGATAAAAATAAGGTCATTATCACTGATTACATTGGATAATATTTATTTTAAATACGTAATGGATTGAAATCAGAGAAGTAAACCATTGAATTAAGTATTACGAATGCATAAAACTAAGTGATTAAATCAGAATATCCTCAATTACATGACTTTTAGGAGAATCCTTACTTGTCGTTGTTTCCTGATAATAATCGAATTCAAATTGATTTGAATAGTAAGAACAATAAGTAACTCGTGTTCTGTTACGGGTATGAGGGCGGTTGTCACTTTTCGGCTGCCCACACCGTGGAAGGTTGTTTCTTGAAGAACCTGAAAAGGAAGGTAGATTAGTGTCAGTCTTAGAGACCTGGGAGCGTGACCGCAGAGCCCGAGGGACAACTGCTTGAGGCTGGTCATGCGCGGCCTTTTTATGAAAGGATTTTTGAGGATTAGCTCCGCTAGTGAAAGCCCTTAGTGGGCAGCCCTTACCGCCGGAGACGGAAGTCTGCGAGGTAGGGTGAGGTGTGACATTTTTAAATCGACCACTTTTAACCACTCTCTCCCTTGTGAGAAGGCAGTATCGCTGCAGATGCTGGTTGTCCGAGGGAAACACCTTACTGCTGTCACACCGCTCTGCAGTGAGCAGTACGACTTCGCCCTCAGACCTTGAGTAGCAGTTTTTAGTCTCATGGTTCTGCAATCAACCTGTCTGGCATGGTAGAACCTTCAGGAACGTATGTTCTGGCCAGTATAGGTCGATTGGGTCATTTTGATTGGCAAGCCCGACCACCATGTCCAGGTGGCATCTACGGTCGGGACAACAAGTAACTGAATTACATGAAAATCTAATTTTTGATTTGATTCTGATAAATGGATTGATAGGGTGGGATTTCGACGCGATAACCCGACTACCTTATTCCTGTCTGTTGTGAATTGATTTGATTATAAGCGAGGGGCCTCAATAAACAACACAGATGATAAGCAAATATAATAGATTCCTACAAAACTGAGATTTTATTACATAAAAAATAATTCCTTCTCAATGATAGAGTGCACATCCATCAACCCCACATGAGGGGATCGGACCCAGTACCTTAGGTTTCACGCGTGAACGCTTGACTTCCAGATTGCAACCGTATACTGATGATTTTCATGCGCTTACTAGTGACTACCTTATAGAGAGGATTCTTGGAGTTCTAGTTAGAAGTCGTGACCGTTAGAGATCAAACCTGCCGGATGTGAGGTAGTGGTTACCCACCGAAGACAATGGATGATGACCGTGTAATATCATGGACTGAGTGAAACTAGACATTAACATCGTCGGATGCTAACTCAGTAATCTAAACCAAAGGTCCTGGTTCGATTATGGCGTGCGGAGTAGTGAATAAGCACAACTGAGGAATCCCTTACTAAGACGGTACGGACATCATATTCTTTCAGGTTTCACTGGTGGTTTCAAATTGATGGGTTGGTGATCTCAATGAAACCCAATAATCTCCAAAACCCTATACTAATGATTCGTCTTCAGTATAAATGGTTTATTTAAACAGTAACATTTAGGTCTAACAACATTCACTAGGACGAAAAACTATCTGAAATCAAAAATTACTAAACTACTTGTAAGTAAACGGACAAATTTATTCCAAATAATTTTTATATCAATTAAGAATAAACACATTTCATAGCATAACATGAGCACTGAATGACATTAGCTTTCTTATTCTATAATCTGAAAACAACTACTATCTTAAATCATAAATTCATATCAAGATGATCTGTACACTCCCTGATTATAGAAACTCGAATACGAGATACATCGCATTATGTAAATGTTAAGGAGTGACTACTGACTTCACAATGAATTATTACATCGTTTATCAATTTCTGTAGACAAATTAACTTCGAAACATGGCATACAGAAAAAATCACAGTCAGTAAGCTTTTCTGAGTTAATCAAAATACAGTGGTAGTCCACATATTTTAAAAGAAACTATTGGTGGTAACCTGAATGAAGAGCTAAATTCATTCCTTAAATCTTTCACCGATTTTGAATAAATCAGAAAATCATATTGAAACGTTTTTACCAGTTTAACTAGACAAATGACCTTTTCTAACTTTACTGAAAAAAAGAACTCAAGCTTACAAATCAATTCACTACCTTTATCTTCACTTCTACACAGTGCCAGCCAGATTTAGAATTCTCTCATTCCCGTTGACCCAACTTTCTACGTTGTTTGATAGCATTTGTTATTGAAAGATTCGCTACCTATGAAGAGAATAGACCTAGATTACAAAATTATATTTATTTACGAATAACTATATGTACTTTCAAATATATATATATATATACAGGATATTCATCAAATATCCTAAGAGAATTATTTTGTAAGTCTAATTCTATTGGTCAATTCCTATTGTAGTGAATGCGAACACAGGTGGGGCAACCAACTTGTATTTAAAGAAAATTACACAGTTACTCAGTAAAATTGGAAAACCATATCGTAAATCGTTCATTTGCAAAATAACATTTCATCATATAGAACTGGGCTGTTCCTGTTGCAAAACATCAATCCATTGTCACTATTCATGCGTTTCATACAAATTCCATTGTTTTCTAACTCTTCCTTTCTTGATCTTCTCCCCATCTTCGGCTGCCAGACATTACGTTGACGCTCACGTCATATACTACTTATAAGTAGCTCGCACCACAGCACCACACTATTGGTCGTCCAAACTACTAATATCACACACTTCAAATATTGTTTCCTATTCGACCTAACTGTATAAATATGCCATGTCTGTAACGTTTTATGATCCGGATCCTTAGTCTGAGATCATTATTCTCTTCTAGACTCAGATCTCATATTTTCTGGGAGCTTGCAGAATACACTTTCTACTGCATACCAAGACTTCTTCTACTTAATTGGAGTTTCTGACGCTCGGATTAGAATAGCCTATTGTGTCACTGGATCATTTGTCTCGCTCTGGTTTACCAACTAAGTTGAACTCGTAATAGTTCATGAGTAACACTATATACACATATTCCTATTGTTATTATATTTTAGCAGATACTCCAAACAAACTTCTCAGATCGTTAGGTGCACCATACTCAACTCCAGTTAGTCCAACTCAATTTATTCTACGTGAATCTGTTAATCAAAATCAATCAACTGATTATAAGCCGAATCAACTTCAAGCTTCAGCATCATCAGAGTTGGTTGGAAAATTAGATAAACCAAATAATTCTACGCCGGAATATCGTCAAACTACTACTAATTCAGAACAGAAACGAGATCACTATAGTAAGGTAAGTAAGTATTGGCCGAACAAGTAATGTGTATTACAAATGAACAAGATTATTGAAGGAAGTTGTTTTATTTATATCATCAGTAAATTCCATTTATCGGGTGAACTTCATAACTCCCAATCAAAATAATCTATACTTCTCTTGGTAAAATGGAATCTTAACCCAAGCTAGTGACTTAGATTATTGAGACACTATCAGATTCTTTGTAGAACTTTATCTTACGTGTTTTGGAGGACTGACAGTGACAAACTTTTGTCTTCTTTATTCGTAACAGTGGTTCCCTTTGATAAATTTGAATAGATATCCTGCTCCATCGCCGTCCAGACGGATCAATCAGGCGAAAAGTACACCGCAAACCCACCTGGTCGGGACAGTACCTCCACTTCACTAGTTTCTGCCCCATACAATATAAACGTTCTGTTGTCAAAACTTTATTCGCTCGAGCAAGTAGAATCTGCACTGCTGATACATTGAACGACGAATTCAAGCTTATTACTGACACACTTAAATCAAACGGATATCCCGAAACGTTTATTGGTCATCAGAACACAACTGTGACGAAGCTGATAGCAACTGATGTACCCAAGAAACCAGTGTACCTACAGTTACCTTTCAAAGGTGATCATTGCATGAAAATTACAACCAAACAGACTGCAGCTGCAATAAGAAAGACCTTCAATGCAGCTAATCTGAGGCTTATCACAACAACCCAATCGATCTCAGTTAACCAAATCAAGTCTCCAAGACCGATTCAGTCCAAATCCCACTGTATTTACCAATTCACATGTAACTGCGGAGAAAGTTACTTAGGAAGGACAGATCGCCGATTGGAAGACAGAATAGGGGAACATATTCCAAAATGGCTAATCAAATCCATGTTACATCAACCTAGCCCATCATCTCAAAATCAATCACGAAACCCAGCCTCGTCCATTGCAAAACATCTAATGATGAGTGGTCATCAAATTGACCCAAAATCAGCCTTTAGAGTTGTGACATGTAATCAAAACCCACACACACTGAAACTACTCGAAGCTATCTTGATTGGTCCAACTTTATGAGTTCAAAAACAACTGTATGTTGACCTTTGTTTACCATGGTTCTAGTGAGTGAATGTCATGCTAAATAAGAAATTTTGACCTTATCTTCAAAACTGTATTTACACAAATAACATGTTGCTTGTATGCTGTGACTGACGAGAAAGCACGAAATGGTACTATCTCACAAAATATGTCTTCTTATTTCTCTATTCAAATTCTTTATTCGTATTTCAACTGAGAGAGTTCTCAAAGACCCACTACTAACATATATATATATATATATATATATATATATATATATATATATATATATATATATATATATATATATATATTATTACACAAGAAACGAAGACATCGATCTGTTGGAAAGTATTATTATTCTCATTTATGCTATTAGATACTTGACTGACCGCTTATGGCACCATTTAATTGTATAATACTGTTTAGTTTAATCCAATATGTGTATTCTGTGGAGGTCATCAAGTTTACTTCGCTTGTCTAATAAATATATATGAACGGTCACAGTTTTCATTTTACGAAATTTACGATATTTCAATCGTATCCTTTTCAAAAGAATTTACATTTATAGTAGTACAGTTAATCTTTCCCCGTTTTCATTATTCAAAAAATCACAAAATTCATACGCTCTAGCTAATTCGCTGTTTCAGATGGAATACATATATAAATTCGGAGAAGACACAACTAGTTTACAAAATATGTTGTACATGTATAGACCTCAATCAATGGTTTGCAATTCAAACAGATTGTTAACTGTTTTCTTTCACAACTCTCCCGGTTTTTGAAATGCACTGATCACGCTGTGCATTTCGATCTGACACTCTTCTCTCTAGTGGCAACTTCTCCAGCTTCGCTGCATACTACTTATGAGTAGCGCCCACCACATTTGGTGTGCAGGACGCTGTAGGGTACCTACTTAACAGGTTCTGTACATAAAAGAACCTAATTTTCACTCATAACGAGATTCCTATTGTTCAACAAGTGTTTAAAACTTTGTCATTAATTTTAGAAAGTTTTTCTTAAAATGATAAATAACTATTATTTAAATCTACTTTCAAAAACTAAGTATTACATTACGTATTTAGTTTGATGATAATTTATTCCACTCTATTTCCGTAACTGTAAGGATACACCTTAATATCAACTGAAATGTAATAAGTCGATGTGTTTAAAAATGAAAGCTAGAAATTGATAATACGGATGAAAGGCAATCAGCTGTGATTTTTAGTTGGATATATATGCTTGCGAAGTCCACGTGAAAAGTATGCAGAAATCATACATCTTCTGGCTTCAACCAGAATTACATTGTTGCTTAATTTAAGTTTCTTAAAGTGGAAGCCATACCATTTTTTAACGTCAGAACTTCTCTAGTCTTAGCGATAGGATTCTCTTTTTTAGCTGTCCAAATTGTAAGCAAATATTGAACTAAGTCAACGTATATTTAGTGGGGAGAAGGAAAGAGGAAACGATTTGGGCAATATACGCCTAGATTGTTGTATGTACCGGTTCCCGAATTCTATTCAGTCAGTCAGTCAGTTGCAACGTAGAACTTCATACGTATGTACATAAGTTCAGGTTGCCATACCACATTAGCACAGAGACGCAAATGTCAAATCAAATTACATAGTGATAAAGATAATTGAGGCATTAATGGTAAAGAAGAAGACTAGGATTTGAAGATATTATTCAAGAAGTATAGTTCAGTAAGATAAGGTTAGAAAGACAAAGGGGTAGGGCTGCTGACGAATCCAGAAGATTAGGATTTGAGAGAGCACAACGAATGGATGCACTTGCGCCACGATTTTGAGTCATGTCGTTCAAGGTCTCTAACCATTGGTGACTTTCGTCTCGCGGACCCCAACCAGGTAGCCTACATCTACCAACATGACTCAGTCCACTTGTCAGTGACTTTATGGATTTGTGTCATGTTTTGGTCTGGCCATAAGCAACAATGCGAGCATGTTCGGGATGCGGGTCTCACCCTCGAAATGCAAAATGTTGCTTCACGACTGGATTGCATCGGCACCTGAACTAGTGATAGGGAATGAAGTAGTCGAGCATGTTGACCACTTCACTTATCTGGGGAGTCTCATCAGTGCTGACGGCCTGGTGACTGACGAAATCTCAGCACAGATATAGAAGGCTCGATTGGCTTTTGCCAACCTGCGTCACCTATGGCGTAGGCGAGATATCCGTTCGCTAACCAAAGGACGGGTGTACTGCACAGCAGTTCGCTCTGTTCTCCTATATGGATGCGAAACATGGCCGTTGAGAGCAGATGTTCTTAGGTTACTAGTATTCGATCATAGATGTCTTAGAAGCATTGCTCGTGTATCGTGCGACAACCGAGTAAGCAATGCCGTCGTTAGGAAAAGAGTACTAGGTAGGGATGGCAAATCAATAGATGAAGTAGTGACACTTCATCAGTTGAGGTGATTGGGACATGTGTTGCGTATGCCTAACCACCGACTGCCTCGACAAGCTATGTTTTGTAATGTAAGAGTAGATTGGAAGAAAGCTAGGGGCGACCAAACCGAAACATGGCACAAATCCATGAAGTCACTGACAAGTGGACTGAGTCATGTTGGTATATATCGACAACCTAGTTGAGGGGCCGCGGAATGATAATAATCAATGGTTAGAGACTTTGAATGACATGACTCAAAACCATTTGCAATGGTGCAGTTGCATTTATTCTTTGTGTTCTCTCAAATTCTAACCTTCTGAATTCCTCATCATCACTATCTTCCTCCTTCTAACTTTATCTCACTGAATTATACCCTAATCTTCTTCATTACTGCTAATACTTCTACTACATCTACTACTATAGCATTTGAACTGACAGTTGCGTCTCTGTGCTAATGCAATATGGCAACCCGAACTAATGTATCTGTTTGATTTTTGTTACAAGCATTTAGTTAACCATCTTAAAATTAATTTTACGAACTAACATTAAGAAACTAAGAAATCCTAAAAAAAAATTCAACAAGGAGTTAGTTTGCTAGAATTAAATTCAACATTATTTGAAACAATTAACTATTTATTAAAATAATTTATTTTATCAATGATAATTAATATAATTTGAAATAATTTTCTTCCTTTTGAAAAAAAACTAGATTTTACGAGAAATATCACATTGTCTACAAACAAATCCACAATATCCTATTGTTATTATGCCAACTGCACAAATGTTAAATCCAGCCGATATGGAACAATCAACAACAGATAACATTAATAATAATAATAATAATAATAATAATAATAATAACAGTAGAAAAATACCACTTGTTTTTCAAATACCCCATTCAAATTCCATTTTTCTAGGTCTTCCAGCTAGTTTAGGTGTAAATCCACGTGTTATGACAGCATCACCAAATAATGCTGTCATTGTATTACCCTCATCTTCATCATCATCAGCAGCATCAGTAACAAATTCACAAATAGTCGTCACTCCACAATCCACATCACAACCACAACAAAACTGTCAGCAGCAGTTATCACCACCAGCACCACTTACAAATAATACACAACCAACAATTTTAACTGGTCCAAAACAAGGATATTTATTGATTATTACACCAGATAATAAATATGAATATGTACCAAAGATTTAATTGATTTGATAATAATAATAATTATTATTACAGTCTTAAAATAAAATGTTGCATTTATAATCAAATGATTCTTTTTCTTATTTATTGTACATTTAAAAAAAAAAGAATATTTTTCAATAATCATTCATTACTCTTAACTCATAAACATTCAATCAATTTTTTTTTCAAATTTCCATGCTACATACAACAAATGAAAAGAATACAACAATCAACTATTATTATTATTTTCTATTTCAGCAAGCTAAAAACACATACATTATTTTAATCCCAGTGAAAAAGAAAAAGATTTGATTTGATTTAATGATATTTTAAGATAGAATCAAATTCTTTGAATTATTATTATCTATTTTGTTTTATTTTTGTCTTCCAAATAGAAGTGAGAATTAAGATTAGTTGTATGCATTGCTATATGTGTTCATTTCATGTATGATTGAATATTGAATTCGTTATTCATATATTACATTGCATTGCTTGTGTAAATGTGTTGGTTGTAATACAATTGTTAATCAATTCAAGTGTTCGATCGTGTTTTCAATTTTCACTTATGATTATTCATTGACTGTCAATTGACGAGTGATGTTTTATGGTTTATAGGGGGGTGGGGAAGACTGGATAAAAACTGTTGGCGGTCAAACCACAACATGGCACAAATCCATGAAGTCATTGATAACTGGACTGTGTCATGTTAGTAGATATAGGCTATCTGGTTGGTATCCGCAAGACGATAGTAACCGTTGGTTAGAGACCTTGAACTATATAGTTCAAAATCATTTGCAATGACACAGGTACATCCATTCTCTCTTTGTGTCCTATCAACTTCTAATCTTCTGCGTTCCTCATGACCCTTCTTTTCTCTTTTTCAATTTACTTTTACTGGATTATACTTTTTAAATCATATCTTCAATCTTTAACATTTTCAATTACCGCTAATACTTCGACTACCTCTATTACTATGAGATTTGAATTGACACTTCCACCTATCTGTGAGCTAATGTGGTATGGCAACTTGAATCGATGTATGCACATACCAAGTTCAACACGTTGAAGCTGACTGACAAAAATAAAGAGTACAAGTGTGACGACAGATGTGCCAGTTGCCATAAGAATAATAAAGACTTGAACTAATGTTTCATGATAAGAAGTAGGTAAGATTGAGGAAATCGACAATGAAACGACGTTCATTAATAATACGTAGTAGGAAGTGTTACAATAATTCGACAGTAAAGAATCTGTACTAAAAAGATATGCATTGAAATAAACGAACAGAAGAAATGGAAAATAATGAGTGGAATCATTTGCTAAACTTTATTGAGATAAGAATAATACAATTTGATATGATATCACTTCCAGTAGAAAATTTAGTTAGGCATTATTAAGATTTAGGAGATAATGAGATAATGATAACAAGGTGGTTAACTTCGACTGATGTTACCCAACGTCTCCAGTCATGGAAAACTACAATTTTGAGAATATGAACCACAAAGTCTTAACCAAGCAATGAGATTTACATCAACAGTCAATAGCTTCGCGTCTTGATTTTCCCACCCCTCGTTTTCTCCAAACTGTTATCACAGCACCCAGTTTCGCGTCTTTTAGTGGTTCTTCTATCACGTTTTTTCCTATACTTTAAATGGCTTCTAAATGTCCTGTTACGATACAGTTCGCTCTTTCTCTTGAAATGCTTTTATATGGCTCTGCGTATATAGCCACAGCCATAGAAGTCCTACTCATTGCATTCTTGTACCAGGAATGTTTTTTACGAAATTGGGGGACGTGTCTTATGGGCTTAAAGAGGATTAGTGGGTATGGAGGATTAACCTTGGGGAGTTGGGGAACCCTGACTCTAAACCAACGGTGCACATAGGCTCCAGGATTCTGAGGGAACAAACTGTATATACACCTATCCTTGGTCAGCGGCTACCATGGGACTGTATCTCCTTACGTTGCTACATCGCGCTATGGATGAGACCTTTGGGTCAAACGATTGCGGTACGGCCCTCAAAAAAGGCCACCTGCTTCGGTTTGGGAGGCTGAGCCGCATCCCAGCCCACTCATAAATTCATTGATATGTGATTGTTCCTTTGTGTTTATATGGAAATAAACAAACATCTGATAAAAGACCATCAACTTATTTCGTATGCCACAACTATCGGTGACTTGTACGAAGTATTTTTATATTATAGACAAATGTATCTAAATAAACGAGCATTGAATGTTACGTAGTTGTTTCATTAAGTGATGGAAACACACTAATACTTTACATACATTAAAGTCTTTGAGTGACAAGTGATCTGAGAACCCCAGAAATCGCGAGTCTATTATTGTAAAGCTACTTACAATTCGATAAGGATAGATTATAAGATAAGCCATAGCCAAATAGTATAAATTTTAAAGGATTTCGTACTGATATCTTATTATCTGAAAATAAAATTTGAACGCTTGGCAAAAGCAGCAAGCCAGTCTTAACGAAAACTTGTGAGCCATACGGATTCAACTGAGGATTTATAATTTATAATTTATATGAGCGTTTAAAATAAAGAAATGTTGTTTCATATTGCACTAAGTTGAATATTTATGAACATACGAAACATGGTTTAACTGACGCATACAATTTTTAATAATTATTTAGTTAACATGATGACAAAACGCAAGCTTTGATTTAATATGTACAATTTTTTAACAGACTTTCTGATCATCTATCATTTAGACACAAAATGTTTCAGAGAAAAATTAAGACATTTTGTGAGATTAGTCTTTATTAGCTCTAAGTTGTGCAAATAGGGCTGCCCTTTGTGTTTCCGTAACATATTCGGTTAAGTCTGGAGACATGAAATCAACAGCTTTCGGTATCCGGAGATAATTCAACACTTTCCCTTTACTCATATGCAAAGCACTTGGATTTTTCTGCTTTCTGTAATTGTAACAATTTGATCGTCAAAAAAAATATCTTACTTAGCTGAATCTTTTTGAGCTAAAGATGTATGACTTGATGGCTCTGTTGCACTTTTGGATAGACTTTTGTAACTAGTGTTTAACCGTTACCATTAATTCTAACCAAACATACTCGATTTCCACATCTTCACATTCAACCTACAATGGTTATATATAATTAAAAAAACTTACTGATTCATCGCTGGAGACTTCTTCATCCATTAGGTACGGCATTGACTAGAACGATAAGTACTTTGTTTGAAAATGAAACAGAAAAAAAACGAACAGATTGAGACCCAAAGATGAATTACTTCCTTAGAAGAAACAATTCTAGATGAAACACGGGATCTATACAATGAAAAGATCTGTCATTTACTCATTCATTCAGTAATTAACATTGGTCGATCAAAAACTCATGCTTTCAACAACAAAGAAAATTAACATGATGGAAATCGAACGAATCATAACGAAGTAACCACACTAGGGGAAATGTATGTATTGTATAGAGAAGATATGGTCCCAAAAAAAGAGAACTAAACAAGTAAGGAGTTAGCAACATGTCAATACTCTACAAATATTTGCAGTTGTTTAGCCTCCCACATCCAAGGCCTATGTTAATATCCATCCCACAAGAAATGAAAAACTACTTCAATAGCCGTGATTGCAGAAGCCAAATAAACCAGTGACGTGATGAAACCCAATGTAAACTTTCTTCACGTTAGTACACATATGGATATAAATTTATTTCAATTCATAAGCTCAATTATTACCTCAAGTGTTGTAATCTCAAAATCATCATAGTCACTTCAAAACTTGTCAGATGTTATAAAGTATGCAGCTAAACCAACGAGTAACGCGAAATGTCATGGAGCAGAAACCAAAAGAAAGTAAAGAATAGGTGCCGGGATCAGTTTACCAATCACGAGCCAACATGAAGTACATTGTCGGTATTCTAAACCCATGTTATAATATCAACCCCTGACACAGTAGATGATACCTTTATCTGACTGGATTAGAAGATTAACGCATCAAGACCGTTTACCGATATACTTCAAGTTTGTCGAATGAGACACCGGATTTATTGCTTTATAGCTTAGTAGAGAGATGTCAGTAAGCTAGAAATCCAGCCAAATTTAAACGCAACCCCTAGCCTAGTTAGACTAATATTAAACAAAAGCGTATAAAATGAAAGCCAATGCATCAGTTTGTGTTCAACGGGGAAGGATTTTATATAGAGTACGCAGTAAAGGGAACGAATGAGAATTTTAGGTCTGTAAAGGACAGTAGTCTACATGGCCTGCATTATTCCTAGGAATGATGGCCTCAGGTGACCCGACTTTACATTGAATGCTTCGTTAGAAGCTACAATCACGTGTTGAGATACTGACCTGTATTAGTCGATTTATCAAGGTAATCCAACGAACTAGTGGACACACAAGACCCACATTTATTAAAGAAAACAATTTACAACAACCAGCAATAACACAAACCTTGAGCTAGAAAAGAACCACGAGAGCACTGATTTCGAGATAGCGCCACTGCACTCTAGGATGACCTTCCAATGTCCAATATCTTAAATATAATCTTGTCACTCAACAGTTTCTCATTTTCGAATATCTTAAACATGAGTGAACTAATATTTTGATGGTCTAGTCTTGAAAATTTTGAGGAGTCAAGTTGAGGGGTTCCATTCATGTTTAACCAGTCCTCAAATGTTGCTGTCCATGACAAGTAGACCGTAGAACCATCCTTGAAGCAAAATATCCCTCACATTGAGATTTTTGAATGCAATACTAAAGTTCCCGGTTATGAGCACTTTGTTGAACCCCTATCGTTTCACTGATCATATCGTGTGGATTATTTTTTCTGTTTGTGTATTATTAATTGTGGAAAAGTGGTTCCTTCACTAATGATGTACTTACTGTCATCCACTTTAAAGCCATACCACCAAGGCTCGAGGATAACTTTGAATTAGAATTTTTTCATCTGCATACTCCTCTACATGAGAAGAATAGTGAGACGATTGAAAGTCATGCAACCTAGTTAAATTTCGATTGAGTCGTTATTAGCCATACAAGGCACTTAGTATCACCGTGAATAAGTACGGTGTAGAGGCGATCCAGTCGCGTTTGACTATGATAAACACTGCAGCGATTACGTTCCCGTCACTGGCAAGAACAGTTATTCCATACAGAAAAATATATTTGTTGGCGGTTTTGTGGTATCAAAAGAATACCGAAATCGTGCCAGAAAAGTTGGACGAAATTACAGAGACAGGGAAGCAAAAATGGCAACCCTAACGGATGTTTGTGCTTAAAAAGTTTAATGGACAAAAATTACAGTAAAACAATCACTGGTAAAATTGGTTATCATTATGTTTCTACTAGATCAATCGCGTTCTGTTCATAAAAGTTTATTTGCTATAACTGAATTCGGAAATCTCCTTCAGAGTAACCTTAGGGTTGAGACTTCACTTGTACTTGTAAATTCAATAGTTATGAACTGATACATTTTTAAACTGTAGTTTAACAACTAAAGTCGTCTTTTGAATGGTCAAAGTTTCTGACTTCTTTTTTACACTAAACATATGTTTCCTCACGAATGCGTTAGGGTAACCGATCTCGGTCAGTGAGTTGTTGATAAGTTCCAGCTACCGACTTAAAGTATCCATTGAAAAGATCATTTTCTCTCTGCTAGTGAGACATCTAGCCAAATTACTCTTGTAGCGGATAGGTGTTCAGGCAGTTTTTCTTTACCGATGTTCTGATCTATAATGATGATTGTGTCATCGACGTACCGGCAATATAGATCAAGTTTCTTAATAAAGATTTCTGGGAACTGAGATTTCTCACTATTATAAAACGGTTGGCGCATCATGTCGACAATTCATAGGGTTTTGGAGAAACAGTTGAATTAAGATCATTGCATGTAACACATTCGAAACCCTACCCTAAACATCAATTATGTCGAACCGGCATGTAAAAAGAACGAACTTGACTAAACTCGTAAATGTTTTTCCGTTAAGTATTGTTGGGCATATGAATTTAAACGCCGTTCGTCAGGATCAAATACCTGCCTTCGGGAAGTAAATAGTAATAATGATCAACATTCTTTCGATTACTGTACAATTCCTCACTCACCACCACAACCTCGTTGAACATGAATATATGTAAGGGATTGGTTTTTCGAGTGATGGGCAGAATGTCAAGTTCAACCGAGAGTGGAGCTCTGCAGAAATTCATTATTAATTACCACTATATCCATGCTCTAAGTGAATATCAGGTCAATACCGTAATCGGAACAGGTTTTGAAGCATCAGAAGGCTTACCATGTGTGTATATGGTGGTAACGAAAAAGCTATAATTTCAGAATCGGTCGTTTCGATTGACTATAGTGTTGGGGATGTTAGATCCCCAAAATTCGCTTGATAATGCCGTATTTCGGTTTTCACGTTCGCCAGCAGGGGCTGATCAAATGACCTTGAGATTTCAATTCCCACCAGGAAAATCAATGGCTGTGATTGGCTACAGTGTATTTTAGTATGCTATTTTCTTAACTGTCTCAAGGACGTTGTTATGTTGTATAAATAAACGAGAGTTGTATGCTTGATGGTACTGGATTGCTGGGTGTTTGTAGAATATACTTTCTACTCTTACCAAGACTTCGGTTTTCCCGTTTGGATTCAAGGTAGCCTTCCTGGAAGCTGGTAAAAGTCTCGTTCGCGTTTATCGACTAAGGTAAACTCGTAATAGCCTCAAGCATACTAAGTGACGAACATATCATATAGTTATGCTTTCGAATCTGAGATTGTGATTTTCCTTGACTTCTATACAAATTCATCATCGTCATCAAACTCTAAAAGCGTCGAGGTAGGGTGTGTGCTGTCCAATCTTGTGTCAGTGTGTAGCTATGCAAGGTAGGAATAATTATTCGCGTCTAATGAAGGTGGCTGCAGATTTCTATGTAAGCCTATACGCGATTAGTCATCCAGACAATTAGCCAAATACTACAGCAACTAGGTCCAAATACTTTGCACCTACTAGGTGAAGTCCAGTATTACTTAAAAATTTCATATATATATTCTACTGGAAAAATGTGTTAGTGTTCAGGATTCTTGTGACCCCTATTATTATCAGTAGGTCACACAAACTATATTGCATATAACTTTTCTCTCTCACCTTAATCCAAGCCATGTATAACAAATTCAAAAGCTATTTTCGATACGTTTTGGAATTACTGGGTAACTTTTCAAATTAAATGAGGATTATTTTGACTGTGTACAGAGTAAAGATGGAGAAGTAACGTGAAATGTTTTTAATGAAGTGGGTCAAAGTCAGTCGAATAGGAGCCAGAAATGGAGAAGATCAAGGGTATATTTGAAGGATGGTCGTGATATTGAGAAATGAGCGACATAAACGGAGAAGCTATATCGAATATATGCGTAGCAGAGTTTACAAAACAGTGGTTTGGTGTGGACGCATGATTGGGGACCTTCGGCTAGAATGTTTCTAACAAAACTAGTGATGTTAACATCAATGTCAAGGCCGTGCAGAACTACTTATTTAAGGGAGTTATTTACCGCTATGACAGCAACATCGATGGCATTTTAATTTTCTATCTGAACTAGGCTTACTCACGATTCAACACTCAGGCCTTGTCAAGAAATTTCATGACCCATAGAGGTGAAATCTCTAAGATTTGTTACTAGCCAGACGTGGTAAGATGTCTTCAGGTTTTCTAGACACTGCGTCTCCTCGAACTTCAACTGCATTGCAGTCGAAACCTGTAGATCATAGTTTTTTAGCCAGCCTTATCGATATTTGGAAAAGGAACCTCACTCATCGTTCATTGGTACTTCTGTGGGCTTTGATAACTGTCTGTTCAATATTCACATTTTATCACAATGATTTTTGTAGTTTCGAGTTTATTTCGCTGAATCCGGAAGGATTTTCCCCTGCCTTTATTGATTTTCTTCAGGTTAACTAAACACCAAAGCAAACAAAAGGCACTGCTAATCGAGCTTAATTGTGAGTATTGTTAAACTTAGAACTATGTCACTGCGCCTACACACCAAGCAACTCCTAAGTGGGTTACCGTTGGAATGGATATTGATCCCGACAAGTTGCTCAGTCGATGCAAACGGTGCATCATTAAGGTAAATTATTATTTTCATCCTATAGGTTTGTTTTGGAAATGTTACTCAATAATTATTCCCTGAAGTTTTTTAGATCGTC